TTGTGTGCTGTAGTGTGGGATCACGCAAAGCAGAGTCTTTATAACTGGCTCTGGTATGAAACTACTACATATAGTCCTTATACTGAAGAAACCTCCTATGAAAATTCTCTTCTGGTGAAACAGTCTGGATCACTACCACTTAGTTCTCTAACTCACGTGTTACGAAGCCTTACCCCTAACGCGAGGTAAGAATGAAAACTGGTTTCTTTTAAAAAGCTCTATACATTTTAAGATACGCACTACGAGGTTTTGATGGCAATGGTAAAATCCTTACTCAGTTTGCACGATTAAGAGAAATAGTAGTAATAATAGTTGCCAGTACTGGGTTATGCATTAGGTAGTCTACCAATTAGCCTGATAATTAGGCAGAGTATCAATTTTTTTTTCTTTAATAGATTTTTATATTTCTGAAAAGCATCTCAGCCATCATAGAGGAAAAAGCAGGATTTGAGATTTTACTTAAATTTGATAGTCCTTTTTATTTTTTTTTTGAAAAGGAACCTTTCTCGTAATTGAAGTGTAGTTGATTTACAATATTGTATTGGTTTCAGGTGTCCAACGCAGTAATTCAGTACTTCATTTAAAGTTGTCAGAAAATACTGGCTATATTCCCTGTGCTGTGTAACATACCCTTGTAGCTTATCTAATTTTATTTGTTGAAGTAGCTGATTTACAATGTTGTGTTAGTTTCTGGTGCACAGCAAAGTGATAGTTATCTGTGTGTATGTATTTTTCATACTTTTCCTTTTTGGTTTATTACAAGATATTAAATATCATTCCCTGTGCTATACAGTATATACAGTAGTTTGCATCTGCTAATAACAGACTCCTAATTTATCCCCCCATAGTTGTTTAATTACATATTGAACATTATGATTCGAACACAGGGCTCTTATGTGAAATAGTTCATTTGATCCGCACAGTCACTCTAAGGTAGATAGTAAAGGGCACAGAGATTTTGATCCAGATCTGCTTGGCCCCAGAGCTCATGCTTTTCAATATCTTTGTATAATGTCTGCAGTGAAGCCCTTCAGCAGCCTAAGAAAGAGGCATATCTGAATTAATAAAAGCTAAGGAGAAAGTTGAATATAGTGTAAGCGAGCAAGAAATAAGCTGCGCAATTAACCTGTTGAAAAGGCTTTTAGTAGCTTCACAGGAGGCTACAGAGGAACGTACAGGGAGGTCCTGAGCACTCCTTCCCCAGCCAGCGCGCTGCCAGCATCACACCACAGAGCAGTGGGAAAGTCGACACACCGATACTGGCACAAGCCATGGAGCCTGTTCAGATTTCACCTTTGATATGTACACTTGTTTGTGCATGTGTGTGCGCGTGAATTTTGTCACATGTGTAGCCTTATATAAGTGCTACCACAATCAAGATACTCAACTGTATCATCATTAAGACTCCCTCATGTTAACCCTCGAATGCTAATTTTAATGAATTTTGTTACTCTGTAAAGCTGTTTTTGTATACTTGAAGATTATCATTGCATTAATGCATTAATATTGAAATATGCATTAAATGGGTATCTAAGTAAAATTTCTGATGGCACTGGGAAGAGAAAAAGCATTCATCCAATTTTAGACTTAATTGCAAATGGACTGTGGCAAGTGGCTACACATAAAGCTGGGCATCCATGCAGTGCAAGTATGCACAGCACTAAATATGACACTGACTGCTCTAATGCAAATATGTTTTAGTTTGGCATATCTGAATATCTGTGTGCTAGCCTCCAGTCCTTTTTATAAAAAGTTTAAACTATTTTGAAATTATGGGTCATCCTGTATGCTCCAATATCATTTATCTTTACTTGGTATGAATGTGATTGATCAAAAACCTTCACCAAAATTTAGCTGTGTAGTCAGTGGTAGTACTTGATTATAAAGTGGTCATATAGATGATCAAAAATATGCTTATAGAAATTATCTTCTGGACTATCATAAAAGTGAAAGTGCAAAGGTTTAAAATTTTCACCACGCTCAAGGACTCCTGGGAAACTTAGTTTGTGTAGCACTGCTTCCAACCCCATAATTCTACCTGGTGTACTCTCCTACGGAAGCAGTTTAAAATATGAAAGAATATTTATGTACAGTTTTATTTAATTGGAGTCATTTTTTATTAATTAAAATTGGAAGTAATGTGGACATCCAAAACCAGTAGGGAAGTGGTAAATCTGTGGTATGATGGATGAACAGCCATTAAAAATAGTTTAGGAGGAATTTTTAAAGACATGGGAAATCAGTAGGTGAAAAAGTGAGGTATAAAATGGTAATATCATATATAAATGCATGACTTTATATTTTCACCGTTTCATTCCATAAAGATTTGAGAAGGGAGCCATACGCAAATGTGATCTCCACATCAGTGCTAGCAGCTGTTTCCTTGGTTTTTATTACTTATTTCAGGTTTTCTGTAGTGAACTTGTTGTCTAAAAAGAAAATAGTTGAGCCTTGAACAACATGGGGGTCAATCTGTGTGTAACTTTCACAGTTAGCCTGGCATGGCCACGGCTACTCACGTCCGCAGAGCCGACTAACTACAGGCCATGTCGTGCTGAAGTATTTACTGTTGAAAAAAATCTGCATATACCCACATAGTTCAAACCTGTGATGTTCACGGGTCAATGGTACTCTTAGGTTTTCCTTAAAAGGAAATAAAGCTTCTCCTTTTTAGGTAGACCAGGATATGACGTTCCTTGGAGAAAGGAACAGAAGGTAATACAGACAGACCAAATGTTTCACATTCTCTTTGTGTATTTTACTGTTAGCTGTTATCTTTTGATGTTAACATTCTGGCTTTGAATTCCTGTTTGTCTGTTTTTTCCTTAGGGGGATTTTCAGGCTACTAATAAAGTATCAGCTGGATAACCAGGATAACGCTTCTTACATTGGTATCCAATATTTATGATATTAAATTTGTGACTTTTGTTTCATCCCATAAATTCCTTTTTCTAGAATCTACTAATAGCACTGCAGTTTTTCCCAGCAGTGAATAAATGGTTTGCTCTGGGATCAGTGTGTCTGACATATCATAGACTTTCAAGTAGCCCTTACAGGTACACTGCGGAACAGGCTGCTTGTCAATACGAATTGAAAGACAAACCCAGCCAATTTTTTTTTATTTCCTTTGCTAACTATGGATGTTGTGTCTACCAATTACATATATTTCATATGCTGGGCATCGTAGATTTTCATCCCCTTCAGTAAAAATAACGTTAATTTAAACACATTTTAATAATCATTCAGCTCTCATTTGACTTACTAGTTCCCTCTTTAAAAGTCAACTTTATTCACGTTTAAACTGCCCACAGGCTTATGTTATACTTGATAGTTGACTGCTTTGAACTAATCAATTCTCTTTAAAAAATGTAAGCCACAGTATATATAACACCTAAGTATTCGTAGTTTTGCTTCTTGCAGAGGTAGTTACTTCAGTACTGACTGCTTTGACATACTTTGGTAACAGTATGTTGTTTTTTGGGGTTTCTTTTTTCTGCTCTTCAGTATGGGTATCCATAAATGGGGTCATGTCTTAAATACTGACTTATATTCACATTTCCTTTCAAACTCTCCAGGACTTTCTTTTCAAGACTTTTACCAGCAGTGTCGGGAGGCATTTCTTGTCAATAGTGATCTGACACTTCGGGCCCAGCTCACTGAATTTAGAGACCACAAGCTTATAAGAACAAAGAAGGTGAGACTTTGCTGCTACAACACTGTATGCGAGGAATAGCGTATCTCATTTACTCAAGGACAAGTATGTCTGATCATGAAAGTGAGGTTCTGTGATGGGTCACAAGGATCCATTTAAGCAGATGGACCATTTGAGTTGTGTAGGAAGAGATAAGGTAGAAGTATCTGCTTCAGAGCAGAGCAGAAGACTTAAGACTTCTAGTCCAGAGTAGTAGGCCATTAGAAATGAGTCAAATAATTCTATTCCCTTCTCCCTCTCTTCCTTCTGCCCCATTCATTAATCCAGTCTGTATTCATTGGACACTAACTTTACATCAGATACTGCACTAAGCATCAAGATACAGTAGTAAACAAAATCCTAACTTATCTCCTCACAAAGCTTAAAGCCTAATGGAGGAAATGGACATTTCTCAAATAATCACACACACGTAAAATTTTAACTGTGGTAAGTCCTGTGATCAGAAGGGACATGGTTCTGAAAGAGCCATTACAGTAGGTGGATGTGACCTAGTTATGGATATCAAGAGACCATAAGCCGAGACCTAAAGGAAGACTAGGAGACAACTAGTCAGAGAGGGAAGGGAAGAGCATTCCTGGCAGAAACAGCATGTAGAGGCCCCAGGACAAAATGAAGGCCAGCGGGGCACAAATGAGGCTGTAAAGATGATGATGTAAGAGCTAGATCATGCATGACTTTTAGGCCAAGGAAAGGGCTTTAATTTTTATTCTAAAATAACAGGAAGTCATTTAAAACTTGTTCTGACTCTGGTATGGAGAGTGGTATGGGGCAGGGTGAGATGGGGATTGCCAAAAGTCGATGCACAGAGACCAGCTAGGAAGGTGTTAGTAATCTGGGTGACTAGGGTAAAAAGAGAAAAGTGGCTGGATTCAGGATACACTTAGGAGGCAAAATTGACAAGAACTGATGATAGATTGGATGTGAGAGCAAAGGGAAAGTGTCAGGAGTGACTCCTGGTTTCTGGCTTGCATCACCAGAGCGATGGAAGGATCACTGGATAGGAAACTAGAAGAGCAGCATTGTAGCGGAGACACATCATGAGTTCATGATCTTAGTGCATTTGGACTTACTTTATTTGGGGGTTCTTCTGAGATTTCCAAGTGGAGATGTCAGATAGGCATTTGGATTCCTAGGGTAAGAAACCAGAGGAAAGATCTGGGCTAGAGATACAAGATTATGATTCCTACATATTCAGATTATAACTGAAACCAGGCATCGATGGGACTACCTAGAGAGAGGACATACAGTGAGATTAGAGGGCCAAGAACTAACCCTAGAAGTGTGACATTTCATGGCCAAGGAGAAGGTAAGCCTGCAGGGGTGAAAGAGCCAGAGAGCCAAGGAAAACAAGATATCACAGACACCAAGAGAAGCATATTTTAAGAAAGAAAGGTCAGCAGTGTCAGATGCTGCTGAAAGGCCAAAAAGACAAAGACTGAAAATATCTAACTGAACTTAGGAATACGAAATTCCTTGGCAGTCTAAGCAGAAGCTCTCGGTGACATGATCATAGTGGCAGTAGCTCTGTTGGCCTGGGTCGAGTGAAAAGTGAGGAAATGAAGACCAGCATTTATAGACAGCTCTTCTGGAAAGGTGCCATGGTTATACAATAGCTGGAGAGGAAGCAGCAGTCTAGTGAGGGTAATTTTAAAATGAGAAATACCTGAACCCACAGCCACTGGGAAGGATCCAACTGAAAGGGGAGTAAAAGCACAGAGAAGTCAGTGGTATAAGGTTCTAGAAAGAGCAGGAAGGCGGGGGGAAAAAAAACCTCACCTACTCATCCTCCAGTCTTCTTTTCCACTATAAAGTGGTTTAAGTATGAACTCAGTGTATTTAAATATATATATATGTATGCCTGTGTGCCCTTGGGCCTTAATTTTTATACTTTTATATTTATATAAAATATTAAAGAAATCAAATCCATTTTGTTTAACCTAAAATAGGATTCAAATATATCTCTTAAAAATGACTAAAATCCAGGGTATTCTTACATCTTTTAGGGAACTGATGGAGTGGAATATTTATTAATTCCTGTTGACAATGGAACACTGACTGATTTCCTGGAAATGGAAGAGGAGGAGTTTTGAAGCTCTTGAATCTTCTGTGGAAGGGTTTTTGTACCCCAGCTGCCAATCCTCTAGTCTGAAGTGTTGTGTTTACATTCAACATTAGACTCTTTTTCCAATGTATAAGATTTAAAGTTGGGAGGGGGGAATGTCATCAGTTAGAACCTTGATTAGCCTGGCTGGTGTGCCATCTCTAGTACTATGCAGCGGTCCTCAAGTTGGAGAAAATGTGCCTTTCGTTCATTACCTCTGTGGAGACTTCTTGCTGGAATGAACAGGGTGTGCTCAGGGACTATTTGGAACTGGATGTTTCTGAATTCTTTTATACCAGAGATGATATTATTCCTAGTTTTTTGAGGGCCTTTTAGCACTCCTGGAGCTGATTGCAAGTGTGCTTGTTCCAGAGTGTGGAAGTACAAAGACATTGGCATCACATAAATCTACTTTATTTACTATTCCTTGTGTCAGAACTGATGAGTATAATAGAGAAAGAAGGTCATCTCTTACTGTTTCTGAAATGGCTTAACAAAAGGTGTGAGACTGGGGACAAGTAGGTGATCCAGCTTTCTCCTCTTGGATTTAGGCTACATACTGGTAGAAGAAGAGGGAGCAGGACACTATTCGGTTGGGAAAGTGGGAAAAACATACAAATATATAAGGTGTATACCCACCCCAGAAAGCACAGAACAACAACATACCGTGCTACTCAGGACAGTTAAGGTCTGTGCCATCACCTTCATGATACAAGTGAGAAGCCAGGCTAGAGAAACACAATCCTGAATTACACGTTAGTCATTTTCTTCTAAGACAACAGAAGATACAGATTTGTTCCTGTATATCAGCATATTTTTCTTCTTGAATAACATGCAGGTGAGTAGTAGCATATTAATTTAAATTAATCTTGATTTCTCTCAAGTAGGCCTAAAATTCACTGTTAAGACATTTCAGTTTTCTTCTTAAAGTGACGATTTCAAGCCTCCTTAAATACTCACACAAGCCTTTTTTCTTAGGAAGGAAAAAAAGGCAAACCTTGGCTCCTGTAGTCAGATGACAGTCTTCACATACTCCCTGCAGTATTTCATACTTGGAAATGAAATTCTTTAAAATATCACTGTAATATACTGCATCAGCATTTTTCACTCATTTCTTATCTTATAAACCCCTTTCATGAAAGTATTTCCCAAAATGCTCTAATTTTTTAATATTTATGTCATATAATGAAATAATTTTGGTAAATCCACATATTAAGGGGTTTAGTCTTAAATATAATTACTAATCAAAATACTTAAACAAATTTGTACTTGAATATGATTCTAATTGTTTTTAATTGTACCAAAGGATATTCAATGAAAAATGAGTTTCCTTACCATTCCCAAATCCAGTCCACTAGGCAGCACTGACAGCAGTTTAAGCATTCTTCCAGATGTATTCTATGCACATCTAAGGGTATCTGTCTCTGTATCTCATTTGAAGAACACAAATGGTAGCATATGACACTTGCTGGTTTGCACCTTGTTGTTGTGTTTTTGTTTTTGTTTTGCTTAATATATCTAGTTTATAATAACTTAGTGTAAAAAGTATATAAAATCTTTAATGACCTAATGTGCAAACTTTGCATTTGCCCTTAAATATCAACTGGTTTATTTTTATAATTTTTGTGTCTATACTGTTTGCAAGCAGTATGTGTGAATAGTCTTTATTATCAATAAAGAAACCAATTTGGATAGAATCACTTATTTTGCATTTATGCTACTGGTTTTTGCTTTGTTTTGTTTTGTTTTACTAAAACTATCTTGGAGTGCTTCAAAAATTTCACAACTGCATCTTACAGTTCTGATGATGATCTTGGCAGAATTATATGTTCTTCATTAACTTGTGTCAAGGTCAGTGTTGCTTAAGCTCTATCAGTTTGACTGCTCAGGCTCTAAACTTCTGCTGTTATTTGATTCTGGCAAGATGGAACAGAACTGAAACCTTGAAAAATTTTTCTGGATACTTTTAATAAAATGGCCAAAAAAAGAAACAGGGGATGTAGGACAGACAGTTGCACTCTACAGACTTGGCACGATACTGAACTCCTTATGCAGGAAGGGCCACACCAGCTCTTGTGAAACTCCAGAAACTGGACTTTCTTAAACATCATGTTTGTTGCTTTAATACATGAACATTTCATTCATCTAAAAGATCAGTAAGTTTGAGGGACAGTTAATAGATTCTACTTAAAAAATTACTAACAAAACTCTAGAAGTCTACCACTGACCCCTGAACAGCACGTGTTTGAACTGTGTGAGTCCACTGATATGCAGATTTTTTCCAACAGTAAATACTACAGTACCATACGACCCGCGGTTGGTTGAATCCACGGGTATATAAAGACAAACCAAGCCTACGAAGGGCCAGCTGTAAGTTTGACTTGGATTTCTGACTGTGCGGAGGGTCAACACCCCCAACCCCTGGGTTGTCCAAGAGTCAGCTGTACTACCTGCCCCCTCTAGCTAATTCAAACCTGGAGCCAGTAGCATTATTCTGAATGTATTTTCCTGCATCCTAGGAGATGCGGCAACTCTTCCAGCTTAGTCCTGAGTAGCTGCCAGAGATGACAGTGAGTCATGAGAGTCTGCCTCATCATAGGTTGTGTCCCTTCTAAAAAACAAGGGATGAACACTGTCATGTAAATGACTTTCTCAGGCTTTCTGTAATTACTTGATTTCTCACTCATGAGAGACTTCCACAATTAAATTTTTTAAATTGTTTAATGATTTAAATTCATGTTTGTTGAGCACTTACTAGGCAGAAAGGTCTGTGCTAGACAGCTGAGAGGATACAAAGATGTAATGTGAAATATCCAGCTGAGGTTTTAATAGCATTAAAAGTTACAGTATCTTTAGTGTGTTGAATAAAGTAAATTTGAAATAACTAATGCTATGGAAAATAAAACTTTGAGCATGAGTATAACTAAGCTCATTACCAGATTTTCACAATTTTGGCATATATCCCTTTGGCTGTAAGTCTTCCAGAGTTCTCAGGTCACCACCTTTACTTCTGCCACCCAAAGTGTGGTCCTCAAAATGGCAGCATCAGGAGCTTCTGGGAGTCTTAAGAAAAGCTTGGGCCTTACTAGAGCATCTGAATCAATCTGCATTTAACTCAGTCTCCAAATGTTCTTGTGCACATTAAAGTCTGACAACCACTAAGCAATCAACACGTTAAAATTAACAGTTCAGAAAATCTGATAGCTGAAAGTAAAGAATAATCTTGAGTGACACTTCATTTTTAAAAAATTGTAAAGGATGTGTTTGAGGGTGTTTTTAGTTATCTAGAAATGCTAACATGCCAATAAAGAAACTTTAAAAATATATTACAGTAATAATGTCATTCTTAAAACTATGTAGCAATAAGTGTGTCCAATCATAAACAAATTGATCCCCTAACCCCTTCTAAAACTCTACCAAAGGAATTCATCTACAACCTTCAACTCCTCATTGCCGTCAGCAGTCACAGTTACAGATGAAATCACATCACACTTAGTGTCCTATAAAGAAAAAAGGGTTTGAGAGCCATTGGCCTCAGGCTATTTCTTCATCATCACTTCTGTTCATACCTTTCCTGCCTCCTGATTTCCACTGTCAGGTAACGAATTAATTACTTGGGCTTTTTCAATGTACTGTGCTGTTTCTCTATTTAATGCATTTATTTGTTCCAGCTGTCCCTCTTGACTTTATTCTACCCCTTTTTCCCAGAAGACCTTCCCTATAAGCCCTCTGCATACCTTTATCATAGTTACTTAAGAGTTTATTGAAATCGTCACAAATTTCTGTCCTGCCCTCTCCACATCTCTAAGGGCCCAGCACACAGAAAGCAAACAATGAGTAAGTAAAGAAATACCATTAAGATAGTCTCTCAAAGCTGCTATCTCATTTACTCTGCTTCAACAAAGGTGACCATCTCTCACTGAAGCTTTCTACTTCCTGGCTTCTGACACTTAGCTGTCCTCTTCCCACCTTTCTTGGTGGCTCCTCCAACTCTGGGGGGCATTTCATAAGGCTCACTCCTACTGGTGATTTCTATGGTGAATCGGTATTATAGGCAAACTACCAAGAAGAATTTGTAAGTTAGTTTCCCGAATCCTCCAGGAGATAAAAGATTGGTAGGAAAAGGGCCTTACAAAAGAAATATAAAATTCTATGCTTCCTCATCTTAGTATTGTAAAAGATTTGCTGTTGTCATTATCACAGTAATATGCTCAGTAGAGAAATCAGAAATAAGTATAAAAGCATTAAAAAGAAAAATCTCGCATACCACCCAGAGAAAATTACAGTTAAATGGATTTTTTTCCCCTTTAGGATTTCTCCCATACCTCTTATAACAATTCCATCATAAATGTATTTGAAAGATACACGAGGGTTAGCGCACAGGCTCTGGAGCCAGACTGCCTGAATTCGGGCCCTGACTCCTTCCCTTCCCAGCCATGTAGCTGGCCTCGGGGAACTGATTTAACCCGTGAAATGGAAATAATAATACCTACGTGCTTGTTTATGAAGGACTGAAAGTGTTCATAAAGCACCTAGTAGAGTGCCTGGCACAGAATTAAGACTGTATAGTAATCTTGAACCAGTATTATTTTGAGAGCTAACCATCTTTATAATAATTTATAACATTCTTCATAATAAAATAACAGGTGAGTAAACCCAAAATGCAATAAAGCAATAGTTATATGAAAAATGATTATGTATATTTAAAAAACTCATCCTGATAAATCTCACTATGATTCTGAAACTTAGGTGGGAGATTAGTGATCTAGGAACAGGAACATACAAGACTATCTGGAGGCTACTACCTATAAGTAGGTGCTCTAATCCCAAGGTTTTAAAGTATATTTTTAAAAAGAGATCTAGAATGGCACAGCTCAGCTACAATTCAGTAAAGATGGTTACTTGAGCTAATTCCCCAAAATGTTAAGTAAACAGACTTTAGTCCATCATTCCTAGATTTTATAATGAATATATATTATACAATATATTCTGTTTTTTATAAGTATTTGTTCTTTAATGGTAGTTACGTTATAGATTTTACCTTATGAGCTATAGTACATTCAGTGAAGCAGATAAGAAACCAGAAATAATAATGTACCTTCTAAGACACTCTTCCAGAAGAATACCAACCCCAGTGACTCATGTTATCCATTCAAGTTGGGAGCCAATCAATTTGTAGACTGTGTTATCCTGTTTTTCCTATATACATTATACCACATGAAGAGGGTCCCTGTCTGTTTCTGACAGGATAATATTAATCTTATTCTCCAAGTGAGCACCCAGCATATCTTGAAGATCAGAAAGAAAGCCTCGCTCAGTGTTGCTATGTTCACAGAGGATGACACTTATTCCTTGGGAAGCAGCATCCAGAACATCGTGATGGGACATCTCACCTGCCAACAAAGGAAAGAGCAAATACTTAAATATTAGACAGAGAGTCTGTGGAATGCTGAACCATAACAGTAGAAATATCAAGCTTACATTTTATAAGAGGCAAATGTAATATAGCAGAACTTTACATATAAATCTAGAAAGTTATTATGTGCATGTTTCTTACACGTCCTCCAATTTAAAAAGAGATGGAGACCACCCCACTGAGAATACCAAATTCCTTCTCCTTGGTGGATCCAAGGCAAGAATCCAAACTCACATATCCAATAGTATCTAGTACTGCCACAACTAGACCTGTAAGAACACCCACTCAAAGTGTATCCACAATGAAAATTAACGACTGCTAAGTAAAATGGAGCTTTCAGAAAGCTTCTTATGTAAGTATTAAATTAAAAATACCTTAAGAAAATCGTAGGTTTACTTCCCAAACACTCCTGCATGCTTTGTGAGTACCAAAATTTTCAGCATCAATCCTCTAATTCATAAAGATGAAATGAGCTGAAGGTTATTTTCTAAATTAAAAACAAGGTGTTTTCCTTTGACTTAGGCAAACCTGCTAGAAATTCTGAAGTTACTGGTGGATAAGGGTCTCATCTTTTACGAAAATATTTTGGGAAAACTCAAGTGTTTTGAAGTTTAAAGAACACCATTTGCAAATCTGGTGACTTCTAATTTAAGAGAAAAAATATACTGTACACAGTTTGGGTTGTTCATAAAAAGCGTTAATTTTGAAATATACTTAAGGACATAAAGGCATAAAAAACAAGGGAAAAAAAGGTTCTTAAGGAAAAAAAGTCCCCCTACACCAATCTTCAATTCCCCACACTCCCCCCACCCCAATGTGTCATTTCATTATAAGGAATAGTGTTTAGTCAAGCACTTTTTAAGACATCTTAATCTAAGTAATCATAGAGGTAAAGTGAAAGGAGAAAAAGACACTAAGGTGGCCCAGTGAGAAGTCATGCTTTAGGAAAGACAATCTGGCTGCCTGGACTATTATAAATGCACTGGCTGGAGAAGGCATCAAAGTGGGGAAATCCATAAAGACTAAAATAATAGGTGAAGACAAAGGAAAGAAAAGCCTGGCTCAGGATGGCAGATAAGGAAAAGAAAAAGCAAGTGAGACTGTTTATACCTGCAAGGAGCAAGCTCCCCATCTGCTGGTCTTTCTAGGGTATTGCCCTTAAGGACCTAACTGTCAAGCTCAAAGGAAGGGTGATGAAATCAGCAGAGGCCTGCCTTTGATCTTTTGGCTGGGGCTTCCCATCCTCGAAGTTATATTCAAAGTGATGCCTTACAGATCATA